TCCCTTCCCACCCAAACCAGTCCATGGGTCTAGGAATTTTGCCTGAAACACCAAGGGGGGCCTGCAGCCAGGAGGGCCGGTGGGGGCTCAGTCTGGCCAGGACCCTGCCAGGTTGTCAGGAGAGCCAGCAGGTCCCTTCCCACCCAAACCAGTCCATGGGTCTAGGAATTTTGCCTGAAACACCAAGGGGGGCCTGCAGCCAGGAGGGCCGGTGGGGGCTCAGTCTGGCCAGGACCCTGCCAGGTTGTCAGGAGAGCCAGCAGGGGTGGGTCAGCGTTGTCAGCAGGGAGCAGCACCCAGGGGCTTGTTTGGGTGCCCAGAGCCCTGGTCAGGCTCTCACAGCCCTTTCTCCTTGTCTCCCCTCTTGTCCAGGGCAGAAATCATCAGTGTCTGGAGGTCCCCTCATCCAGAACGTGCACTCGTCCAAGCGCATCCTCTTCTCCATTGTCCACGACAAGACAGGTCTGTGTCCCACCCTGGCACTGGAGGTGGCCAGCAACCACCTCTTGGGGAAAGGTTCCCCCAGCCCTGTCTCTCCCCAGTGGTCTCCCCACCATCCCCAAGCTCTGCAGGGATCCAGCAGTGGAGGATTTTCTTTCCCTTTACTTGCTGCAACATCTCAGCATCACAACCCAGCTCTTAATTCCTGCTCAGGTCCATCCATCTCCCCCACGCTTGGCAAGCGCTGCTGGGCAGCTGGGAAGCCCCATCCCTGCCTCATGCATGGGGAACAAAGGCATGGCTCAGGCTGCCTGGGCTGCAGGCAGCAAATACCCACCAAGAGCTTGGTGTTAGTTCCAAATAACTGCAGCCCACTGACCTGGCATGACTCTGCATCAATGCCTGGGGGGACCAGCAGTGGGGAGGAGACTCTGCCATATCCCCACCCCACCCAAGGGAAAAGCAACCTGCAAATGCCAAGGTGTTTGCATCAAAACTCTTGCCTGCCTGCATTAAAAAGAAGAAAAAAGTACATGTGGGAGAGTTGGGAGAAAAAGCTCCTCAGTGAAATGGCCCAGCCTTTCAAAGGTTCGCTTCAGGCTGAGTTTACTCTGTCCCAGAGGGTCTTTCATGTCAGGGTTGAGAAGTTTTATGGGGTCATTTCTTAGGAATCTGCTTTGCCCATGCCTGGCTGTAGAGGAGGTGGGCTGGGGAAGCCCAGGCCTGATCTGCCAGCCTGGAGAGCCCACTCAGCACGAGAGAGATCATTATTTTTAAGGCAGCAGAGTCTTGTTCCTGCTCCGCGCGAGCAAAGTGCGTCTGCTGCGTGCCAACCATATGGAAGTTCCTTATTTCTTATATTTTGTTTTGATAGATAAGTGGGACAGTTTTATAAAAGAAACCGAAGATATCAACACCCTTAGGGAGTGCGTGCAAATTCTGTTTAACAGCAGATATGGTGAGTAGGAGTTAATATCCCATTATGCATCTGCAGCGCTTGTGGTTTGCATATCATTATATAGCAATCATTTTTGTTCCCTAACACAGCAGCAGGAGCCATATGCTAGAGCTCCCTTCTCTTCCTAACACATTTAGCCCAGCAGCTCCCAGTCTCCGGGTGTCTGCTGAAGGTTATGTCAATATTTCCATTTGGAGCCCTCCCCACTGTCGAGGAATTTATAACTGGGCTGTAAAGCAGTGAGCGTTGTTGGTGCTTCCCTCGCCACTTTTGGGCTAGTTCCTGGGCGTTTGGGCAGCTGTGAGCTCAGGAAATTGCTCAGGAATGGGCTGGAGGTGGTCACCTGGACCATCCCCACCAGGCTGGGTGAGTCAGGAGGTAGAGGTGGGCTGTAGATGTGTGCTGTGTCACTCTGGAGTTGTAGATGAGCTCTAGATGAGCTCTGTAGCTTATAAACTTTTTATGTGCTATGGAACTCGTGAGCTGTCACAGAATCCCAGTGGTGGGGGTTGGAAGGGACCTCTGGAGACCATCTCATCCAACCCCCTGCTCCAGCAGGGTTCCCCAGAGCAGAGTGCCCAGGATCACACCCAGGTGGGTGGATATGTTGTCTAGCTCAGTGACCCACTGTGGTTACAGGGAGGTTGGGGACAGCACGTGGGTCAGCTCACCCCTGGCTGAGCAACACCGGGTGTGTCTGGGGGTTTTGGAGGACACCATTAGTCCATCTCTGATGGGTGAGATGCTCCTGGGCCTCACTTTCTGGAAGAGGAAAATGAGAAGAGGGCAGGAAGCACTTGCTCTGCTTGAGTGCAAGCCTTTAGACCTTCTCTTCACCACCCTTTGGTTCACCTTTCAGCCGAGGCCTTGGGGCTGGACCACATGGTGCCCGTGCCCTACCGGAAGATCGCCTGTGACCCCGAGGCCGTGGAGATCGTGGGCATCCCAGACAAAATACCCTTCAAGAGACCCTGCACCTACGGCGTCCCCAAGCTCAAGAGGATCCTGGAGGAGAGGCACAACATCCACTTTGTCATCAAAAGGTGGGGGGGGGGGAAGGCAGAGGAGAGCGTGTGGCCTCGAGGGGGGTTGGGGATTTAAGCTGTGTTCCCTCCGTGCTCACAGTTTTTTGACACCCAGAACTCATTTTACCTTTTTTTTTTTTAATGAAAAAGAGTGAACCTGATGTTTGTTTTCCATCACTCTCCCTGTTTTTGCAAGGATGTGGCAAGGCTGGCTGTACCAGAGTCACCCCCAAGTGCCACCACCCTGCTGTAAGTCCATGAAGATCCTACCAGCACCACCCTAAGCACTTTTGGGTGGTAATGGGACCCTCCAGCAGCAGCACAACTCCCTCCAATGGCATTTGTTGGATGAGAGTGGTGCCTCCAGAGCTGGGAGGAGGAACATCATCATCAAAGGGGTTCCCCTCCACCTTGTTTTGTGGTGATCACTTATGGACAGCCCACAGATAGGACGATGAGGATGTGTCCCCTACAGGCAGGGTGATGTGTCTTGGTGTCTGTGTTTGCACTGGAGTAGGAGGAGTGGCTGCTGTCCTGGTTCTCTCTGCACCATGCAACCCCTCTTTGCTTCTCCGTTGGGAAAATCCACTTTATATTATATTTATTTATTCAGTACCTGCCTGTGCAGCATTTGTGTTGTTCCCCTGCTAGAAGTATGAAACTACAGCACAGGAAAACCCCAGCTGAGGCTCCCAAGAGGGCTAAAATCACCAGCATCAACAGGACTGAGGCATCCTGGAAGGAATTCTCTTTCCAGAAGTCAGCTGGTGGAGGTGCTGCTTGGGCTGGCTCAGGCCCTGGGACATGGCCCTGAACCCACTGTTCTCCCATGAGAAAAATTGTGGATGGCACCAAAATGTGATATTCAGGAGCCAGGTGACATCTGGTCGATGGTCTGTGTTGTGAAGTGAAGGTCCAGCAGCAGCTACTTTGGTCCCACCGTCTCTTTTGGCAAAGCCAGCCTGTAGCAGCCTCATTTAATAAGTTAATTAAATTAAGAGAATGACTTGTAAGCAGATTTAAAGGTGCTGTCGTTAAAAAGCATATGCTGTAAGATTGCTTGGTTGCACAACAGGCTAAAAGGCTTTTTTTTGTTGGCTGAAAAATTCATTCCCTTTTTTGAGGGAATGACTAAAACGACTATTTTGACTCAGCTTAATGCTCTTCATGAATAAAACCTAAAATTCAGCCATTAGAAGCACCTATTTCTAATTCCTTTTCTTTTTTCCCTCCTTTCTTAGGATGTTCGACGAGAGAATTTTTACAGGTACGTTCTCCACGTCCTTTGATTTATTGCCCACAAAATGGAAAGATTATCCAGAGCAGCAGAGTTGAAATAATGTCACTTGGAAGCAGCACAAGTGCAGGACACGTTTAATTGTGCTCGGTGAGGAGAAGCCCTGTCTGTGCCCTACACCCGGGCGTGCTGAGCTTGTCTTCCCCTGGTGTGTGCCCCTTCAGTAGTGTTTTGAACCCCTGGTGCAGGGGGCTGGGCTGGCTCCTCTGCTGAGCTGCAGGCACGGGCAGCACACCGTGTCTGTGCCTTCAGGAGGAGGAAAAATCACTGCTGGGTTCCTCACTGGGAAATTATTCTCTTTTTCTTTTTTTTTTCTTGGCTGGGAAGTGCTAGTATCAGCCAGCTTGCTGAGTGTTTTTAAAAGGAAAACAAGAAAAATCCATTTTTTTTTCACTCACAAAACCCTGAGGAGGGGGTTTCTTTGGCTTTCTTTGCCCTGGGGTTTTGCTGCTTTTAGTCTGAGCTGGAGGAGCCAGGCTAAGTGCTGCTTGGCAAATCAAAGGAGGCAGGTACTGGTGCTGTCAGACCTGACCCTCTCTCCAGCAGCTGCCCCCATCCCACCACCCTGGTACCTGCCTGAAATGTGGCACCTGAATTTATCACCACCCAGCCCCGCTCCCACGTCTCCTGGGCTTGGCTCACAAGTCAAGACCTGTTTTGGGGTTGTTGTGGTTGGTTGTTTTTTTTTTTTCCCCCCCAAGCTGCCAACCCCACACGCTGGCAGCTTTCCAGACACCATCTTCTCCAGTGACATCTCCACCAGCCAAATTAACCCCTGTGGCCCCACAAGAGCCCCAACTCCAGGGCTGCTCCCTGGGGATGGTGATGACGTTGGAGCCATCCAAAGAGGACCTCCAGCAGAGCCTGGAGGGGGTCACACCTCCATGGGGATGTTACTTTGTCTCCAGCCCCATTAATGGACTTTTTTTTCCTCAAGAAAAGGATTTTTTTAATCTGCAGCCTGCCCCCAAGGGATGGAGCACTGAACTGTGTCTTGGAATGCTTGGATTTTCCTTGCAAATCCATCATGGTTGCACAGTACCTAAGGGGAGGAATCCCACAGAGTGCTGTACCTCAGCTCCAGAGCTGCTGGTGGAAAGCACCGTGCTATGAATTTGGGGGTGCAAGTGGAAATTGGGAGGGGAAGGGAGCACACCCAGCAGAACTGCAGCGGGTGGCAGCTCCCTCTCCCCTGCCTGGTCCTTGCAGGGCTCCCAGGAGCCAACCCCCACTAAAGCTGGCCTTTTGTGGCTCACGTCAGCACATCTGACTGTGCAGGAATGAAAAAAAAAGCATCTGCTGAGTCAGGAGGTGCCATTTTTGCAAAGACACTATTTTTTGAGCAGAGCTGTAGTTGAAATTGCCGACTGCAAAGTCTCCCAAAGCTTCCCTGCATGGCTTTGCTCACCCTTTAATTAAAATATCTGCCACTGCTAGGAAGCCTATTTTTGCTACTCCCCTGGGTAGCAGCTTCAGGCAGACTCTGCTGCTGCAAGGAGAAGATTTGGTCCATAGAAAACACAAATTAAAAGGAGCCTTTTGGCCCGTCGGGGGATAAATAGTGTCTTCAAGGCTCTGTATTGCTGCTGGTGCCATTGCCAGGGCCCTGCCCTTCCCTGCAGGCTGGAGCTGAAGGGAAGAGCTTCGTGTTCCCACAGCTGGGATGTGTTTGGGAAGGGTGGAGGTGTCAGGATGGTGCTTAGAGACCCACGAAGGGCCTTTGGCAGCAGCTATTAACAAGACACCTACGTGATTTCTGCCGCCTCACGGTGTAATTTCATTCTCTCCTTCCCCCAGCACTAATCCTGCAGCTCTTTCCTCACCTTCCCTACCCGATTTTCATCTGCCTTCAGATCACTCTTTTCATCTCCGAGGGCATTGCTGAGGCTTCGTTTCAGCTCCTTTCAGGTCGCTGAGGAGCAGGGAAGGGAGAGAGGAGGTTTTTCATGGTGTCAGGATGGCTTTTGTCCCCCTCTGCATCGCTCAGCAGAGATGTCTCCTGCTGCAGGCAGGGCTCAGAGGTGTGGGTCAGGGCTCCCTGTGCTGCTCTGGGCGTTGCCAAGCTCCCATCCCCTCCCATCTCCCCACTCTGGGGCTTGCTCCTGCAGCACTGGGCTCTGGCCGTGCCTGGGTTTCCTAACCCTGGTCCCCACCTCTCAGCACCCTGTCCCAGCAGCCAGCCCTTCCTGGAGATGCTCCATCCCTGGCAGGGCTTCCCAGCACACACATAGTTACACAGAGGGTGAAGCAAAAGTTTTGCTGCTATTTTAAGGTGTAAATCTGAGTAAATCTGTACCCTTCTCTCTGCAAGCAGATGAGCCTTGATAGCTGTGTCAGAGCCGAGGCTCTGAGCCTGGAGCAGGGAGAAGCACAAAGCTGTCTCACTGGCATCTCTGGTGGCTAATTCTGCTTCTCCTTTTCCTTCCAAACCCGCCCTGTGGCACCAGGAAGCAAATTTACCAAAGATCCAACCAAGCTGGAGCCCTCCAGCCCCCCGGGGGAGATCTCCCCGGAGCCGCACCGCGGGGCCGTGCTGGACCTGGTGGGGACCTCTCAGGCCAACAGCCGGTGAGTGGCACTGCTGTCCCCTGCCCACCTCGAAGTGACACCCCCCAGGGGGTCGTTTTGGAGGCACTGAGAAGCCCAGCAGGTTGTTCTGTGCTGCTGTAAGGGTGTTGCTCTCCTGCCCCCCTAAAGCCCCCCGGCGACGGTGCAGCTCCATGGGAGGAGGGAGGGGACTTTGCTAGTCCAAAATTTGAGAGTTTGGAATCAGTGATGTGGTACAAAAGGGCTGAAATCAGGGCCGTGCCAGCACAGGCTGGGATTATCTGCAGGAGCAATCTCTGGTGTTAAAGCATGACCTGAGGATCCACCCTCAGCCGGGCCCGTAACGCATCATCCTGCTAATTAAACTTCCCTAGTTGATGGAGCTGCCAGGGAGAGCAGGAGAGGATTAACTGCTGGCTTCATGCACAAGGGGTTATGGAGTTCACCAGGGCAGGGTGGTTTTTGTGAGAGGACCTGTTTCTGGTGCCAGAACTGGTCTGGAACGTGCTGGCAGGGCTGGGTAGTGCTGCTTTCCAACCTGGAAGATCCAGAATACCTCCAGTATACCTCTAGTTTCCTTCATTTTTTTTTTCAGCTGGTCAGAAGCAAGGTAATATTTAGCCCCAATGTTTACTTTTAAAGCCACTTTCAATGTGAGAAGCAGGACAGCAGTTCAGAACTGGTGCTCACAGGAGAGGAGCCTTTCTCCAGCCTTGCCCCACACAGATGGTTCCACCATGGATGGGTTTATGAGCAGCAAAATGAAGTTTTCTGGATCTGCAGGGATGGGGACATGGGGTAACTCATCCCTGTCTTCTCCCTGGCATGTGTTGAGTTCCCCTCCCTCCTCAGCTCTTTGTTGATGAACCTGTGATAGGTTGGAGTTTCTTTCTGGTTCTCCCCAGTGCTGTTCTAGCTTTGTCATAACAGACTTTTAAGATCAAAAAGTCCAGCTGTTCCCCAGCACTGCCAGGTCCCCACTGCCCCACGTCCCTCAGCACCACATCTCCACGGCTTGGAAACCCCTCCAGGG